GGGTGTCAGGGACCCAAGTACTTGTGCCATCATTTGCTCCCTCCCAGTGTGTTAACAGGAAGTTGGATCAAAAGTGGAGGAACCGGGACTCAAACTGACACTTTGATAGCGGATGCAGGTGTCCCAAGCCACAGCTCAATCTGCAGTGCTGCAACATCTGCCCCAAGCCCTTAATATTAGTACGTTTACCACCCCGATGTTAAAATTTGGAGTTTCTCAACATTAGTCATGAAATTCTCTTATATTCTCTCTCTCTCTCAAGTTACCATGTCCATGTCAGTGATTACTAAATTTTTATATGTAGCCTGACCTTTGAGTCCTTGAACTGTGGCCAACTGCCTTCTCAACATCATTTGGCTGTCTCAAAGCCACCTTGGATTCAATGTGTTTTATCCTAACTACAAGATCTTTTCCTTCCAGTGTTGTTCTTCATCCAGTTCACTGTAAGTCATCAATATTCACCTGAAACCTAGCCAGAAACCTAAGCATCACCCATGTTCATCGTCTTTGCATTACTGTAGAGAAATACCCAAGGCAGCTAACATAAAGAAGAGGTTTTGGAGGTTCCAGGGCGTGGAACCTGTGGCAAGTCAGTTCTGGAGATGGCCCACGGTGAATGGCATATGGCATTGGTGGGAGCAAGTGGCTGCCTATCCCACAGGAGCAGAGAGGGAAGAGGTGGGGGCAGGCTTGCTCCTTTTGTAACCATCCTCTGATGAGAGCTCAGGAAATCACACAAGAGCCCACAAGAGAACTACCATGTGTCGTCTACAGTGACCTGAAGACCCCAAGTGACCTCCCAGAAGTTTCCCCCCATCTCCTGACAGTTCCAGCCTGTGAACTGAGCCTTCCATCACCGTGGGTCTTAGGGGACACATCAAGTCACATTCAAACCACAGCACCCCTGATACTGCCATTCTCTGCAAAGGAACCCAAACCTATCACTTAGCCCTGAAAATTTTACCTCCTAAATAGCTTCTGGGTATGTCTGTACCTTAGTAGCTGTGAGTAATTTACTGTTATATGGTACTTACATTAGTATCATAACTGCCTACCTTGTTTTCCAGAATCAACTGTGTTTCCTTTCAGTCTGCTTTCTGCAGAACAGTTACTCATCTTTTCTCTTCTTTTTTTTTTTAAGATTTATTTGATTTATTTGAAAGGGATTTGGAGGGGGTGATTAGCTCATGAATGTGGAACCCCAGTAGTGCCCTTGCAGGGAGACACGCCAGCCATCGACGAACCAGCAAGTGGGCCCCAACCAGACATGGGCTCTGCTGGCATTCTTGGGCTTCCTGCCATCAAGAACTGTGAGTGACAAATTTCTGTTGATAAGCTACTCAGGCTAGGTATTTGTGCTCCAGCAGCCTGAAAGGTCAAAGGCAGTCATGTTCCCTGGGGATCCTTCTGCGTCTGTCAGATTAGCTTAGGCAATGCTGTGGCTGCAACCTCAGACAGCTCATTAGCTCAGAAGCAGTTTACTGCTCCTTCCTGGAGGTTCTGTGTGTCTGCCCTGTGGAACTCCGCTCTAGAACCCAGGCCGACAGACGTCCGTGTCTCTGTTGAGGGGAAACAGAAAAGGGTGACCCACATGGTGGCTCTTAAAGCTTCTGCCTGGAAGAACACGTCACTGCTGCCCTCATTTCCTGGGCCAAAGCAAGTTGCAGAGTCCCTCCTGAGTGGTGTTCTTTCCCTTCACAATGCTTACCTGAGCTTTTAATTAGCAACCCATTAGTGTGATTATGTGATAAATATCCTCCTTGTCTTGACTCTGAGGTCCATGAAACCATGAACCAGGTCCGTTTTTTGCCCTTTATATGGACAGCATGCAGAACAATGCTTTTACCCAAAGTGGATCTTCAGTAGCAGGTGATTGAATGAATGAATGGAATGGAAGGAATTTGAGGTGCCTAAAAGGACCATGGGAAGAACTGAGGATATTTGGCCTTGAGAAGAGAATATTCAGGTGAACAAACTAAAATGTTATATATACATGGTTTCCGTAGAAAAGGAAGAGCAGATTTCTTTATTCCTTCAGAGAGTATATTTACGACAAATTTTAGAAGCTAGAGGTAAGGAATCAAATTTTGGGTCACTATAAGATAAACTTTCTGATGACCCAGCATCAGTATTAGGAATACTACGTTCAGAGGTGGACATTTGGTGCACTGAGGATGATGTCATGCGGCAGGGGTGAGTCATGGTGTAGCAGGTGAAGCCACCACCCGCAGTGCTGGCATCCCACATGAGCACTGATAAGCCTGGCTGCTCCACTTCAATTCAGCTCTCTGCTGAAGCTCCTGGGAAGCAGCAGATGACTGGAGTGCTTGGGCCCCTGCCCCGCCACGTGGGAGACCTGGATGACGTTCTAGGCTCAAATGGACGTAAGATTTTTTTCTCTGTCACTGGCTCTCCCTCTCTTTCTGTAACTTTGCCTTTCAAATAAATCAATCTTTTAAAAAAATGTCACTTGGGATGCCTGCATCCTGTATGGAAAGTCTGGGTTTGAGTCCTGAGTTGGAACTGCTTCCAGTTCTAGCTTCCTGCTACTGTGTACCCTGGGAGGCAGTAGTCGATGATTCAAGAACTTGAGTCTCTGCCTCCTGTGAGGGAGATCTAGATTGAGTTCCTGGCTCCTGGCTTTGGCCTGGCTCAGTTCTGGCTTTTGTGGGCATTTGGGAAGGAACCAGTGGATAGAAGCTCTCTTGCCTATCTCTTGGTTTCTTTCTGCTTTTCAAATAAACAAATACAAATAAGAATTACTTAAAAAGAAAATGTTCTGTTGGTACTTGCTCATGGACTAAATGATCAGATGTAGAAAATGTCAGTGATGTTCCAGAAGTAGCAGTAGTGGAAGGGAGGCATCACACTTGATCCCACCAAACTTCAGAGTGGCACGATTTTATTTGAAAACATACAGGTAGTTAATAGGGACACAGCAAGTACAAGACATCAGTTGCAAGGCAGTATAATTGTATCTTTAGGTGGCATAGCCACAAAGTGCTGTTCTGTCTTGGCTTGTGATTTTAAAACTTGTCACAAGGAGGATCTCCAGATAGCTTGTTCTCTAATCTATACCATCATTTATCCTTGCTGAAATAAAGTCACAATAGATTATCTCTTTAATCATGTAATTTTATCTTCATATACTTGTTAGGATATAATCAATTTATTTGTATTTCTATAAACTAATAGTGAACAATTCTAAAATGAAGTTAAGAAATCAGGGGCTGGCATTGACGTGCAGTGGGTTAAGCTGCTGCTTGTGATGCCAGCATCTTATTTCAGAGTACAGGGTCAAGTCCCAGCTGCTCTACTTCTAATCCAGCTACCTGCCAAGTGCCTGGGAAGGCAGCAGAAGACAGTCCAAGTACTTGGGTCTCTGCTACTCATGTGGCAGACCAGGATGAGATTCTTGGCTCCTGGCTTCATCATGGCCCAGGCCTGGCTGTTGAGACCATTTGGGAAGTGAACCAGGGTTCTTTATTTGATTGTCTCTTTTGGAAGACCACAGGAATAGGCAGAATAGTTTATAAACATGATTAGCCTTAGGAAAACCAAATATTCTAACTGTAACATGCTGTGTTACATAGTGCTTAAATAATGGTAAACATTTACACATAATAATAAAAGCAGAAATGTTAATTTGAGTTTCTAATGCTATAGCATACAGATGTACTTCTTAAAAAAACTTCTGCCTTTTATCAAAGTAACAGATGCATGATTTATTTTACATTGCAAAAGTTCAATAGTAAGGGTGCCATTATAATGTCATAATAATTCTGTAGATGAAAATAACATAATAAATGTAAGATAATATTTTAAAATTACTAGTCTAGAAGAAGAGTCACACTACTCTGGAATAGTTAAGTTTTCTTGAAGGAGAGACACTTGGATGAGACCCTAAATAACGATGTAGATGTTTATATAGACTGGACAGGCAGAAATGCTGGGGATATGGCCACCCCATGTTCTCCATCTTCTGGGACAGTTTTGATTTCAAATAGAACCATGGTCGTGTGAGTATGGTCATAATTGCTAGAGCAGATGCCCTGCTTCTGAGTTTGCAAAATGGACAGGAACAATGGGTAGAACTGAAAAGAAGATGGCCAAGCAGTAAGTCAGATGGAGCATCACGTGTGTGTCACCTCCTACCCACTAATCCTCAGCTATCTCCTCCCATGGTGAAGTCCTTTCCCTCCACAGTAAACCCACATAAGACCCTGATATCCCTGAGGGAGAAGCATTTGCAGCTGCTGGAAATGTGACAGGCCCAGTCGTTGGCAATCAGCACGTGCAATCGGCCACATGGATTGTGAAACAGTAGTCATAGGTCTGTCTGTTCTGTGGCAGGATAAGAACTGCACACTTTGTAAGATGGGGGCACGAGCCTGAGAGGCTCCAGCACCATTCCCCAGCTAGGGCTGCTGGGTCACATTTTGCAAGAGTTGTCCCCACTGCCCCCCATTCTCCTCTACCCCCAGTCTCATTTTTAAACCAGTGTCTGTCCTGGGACACAGGGCACAGGTTTTGGAGGCCATAGCAGTTAGATTTTGCATCAGCGTTGTGGGTGTCTTGTTTTCCTTTGCTGTTGTAATGGTGAGGAGGTAGAAATCCAGTCAGAAAAGGGAGGGCAAGAATGGCATGGAGCAGGAGGATGTAAAAGCAAATAGAGTTTTCATGTTTCCTTTCTCTGGAGGGTGGCTAAATGGCTGTGGACAACGAGAGGGTTGCCTGTGGAATACGTGAACTGTAGTCATCAGCCTGTTCAGAGGAAGACTCTGCAGATGAGCCAGTTCCATCGTCTGTGACTTTTCTTGGGTCTCAATTCCAAATTTCATCATTACAGCCAAAGAAATGCTGAACTTTATATAAAACAGAAGTGTTTATGAGGAGAAATGTAAATGTTTGCAGAATAAAGCAAGATTCATTGTGTTAATGTTGCATATTTTTGGTCGATTCTTACATCTCTTTATTTTCTTATTTTGACTTAACTGCAGTCTCACTTTGAGAAAATCCCCTGTCTGGCATCCACATGGTGAAATCACAAGGCCAAAGAGACAAGAAATGTGGCTGTGACAAAGGTATGGTGACTTCTGTTGTCCCTATCACACTACAAAATACTGTGCTTAATTTGCTCCATAAATGTGAATTTTCCTTTTGTTGTACAGTCTCCTTAAGACTTCTCTTCTAGGGGCTGCCAGCATCCCGTATGGGCATGGGTTTGAGTCCCGGTTGCTTTACTTCTTTTTTTAAAATTTTTATTTTTTTTGACAGGCAGAGTGGACAGTGAGAGAGAGAGACAGAGAGAAAGGTCTTCCTTTTGCTGTTGGTTCACTCTCCAGTGGCCGCCGTGGCTGGCGCGCTGATCAGAAGGCAGGAGCCAGGTATTTCTCCTGGTCTCCCATGGGGTGCAGAGCCCAAGTATTTGGGCCATCCTCCACTGCACTCCCTGGCCACAGCAGAGAGCTGGCCTGGAAGAGGGGCAACCGGGACAGAATCCAGGGCCCCTGGCCAGGACTAGAACCTGGTGTGCTGGCGCCGCAAGGCGGAGGATTAGCCTAGTGAGCCACAGCGCCAGCTTGCTTTACTTCTGATCCAACTCTCTGCTATGGCCTGAGAAAGCAGTGGAAGATGGCCCAAGTCCTTGGGCCCCTGCACCTACATGGGAGACCAGGAAGAAACTCCTGGCTTCTGGCTTTTGGATCGGTGTAACTCTGGCTGTTGCAGCCATCTGGGGAGTGAACCAGCAGATGGTTCTCTGTTCTCTGTTCTCTCTGCCTCTGCCTCTCTGTAACTCTGCCTTTCAAGCAAATAAGTAAATCTTAAAAAAAAAAAAACAAAAAAAAACAAAAACTTTCTTCTAGAATTTTCCAGCTTCCCCAAGTTCTCGAGTCTGCAGTGTTTTTATTTTTTATTATTATTTTTTAATTTGAGAATTAGAGTTACAGATAGAGAGGGAGAGACAGAGAGAAAGGTCTTCTATCTGCTGGTTCACTCCCCAAATGGCCACAATGGCTGAAGCTGGGCCAATGCAAACCAGGTGACAGGAGATTCTTCCAGGTCTCCCACACAGGTCTTCACATGAACTGGTGCCCATATGGGATTCTGATGCCAAGGAGAAGGCTTAGCCTGCTACGCCACAGTGCTGGCCTGGTGGCGGCAGTGTTATCACTACATCCATATCAAGTTAAAGCAAGGATCTGTAAAAGATAAAAGTAGCTTCTTTTCTCTCACAACTGTACCTGTTAGTTGACTCAGCTGTCAACTTTGGCCCAGAGCAGCTCTGAACACATAGTCACACCATTCATCAGCATTTAGAAAGGGCCTGCATCCAGCCAGTAACACATCCATGTGAACACCTTGCTGGTAAACATTGGACTGTGTTCACAGAGAAGCTTTCTTGGAGGGAAGCAATAAACATGGCTGATATCTCCATAGATAAATGTATGACGTGCGTTTTAGTTTTGCTTTTCACTTAGAATCAAAAAAGTGTTCTTTGGGTGGATAACCAATTCAGCATCACCAAGGTGGAAGGGAAATATGAAACATCTCATGGCAACAGAACTGGTTTTGGGCGAAGATTTTACATTCTTTCTGTGTGTGGATGAATTGTAGAAGTTAGTCTTTCTTCCAGTGACTTCTCTAATTTTACCATGATATCAAGAAAGTGTTGGAATTACTATACTAGTTAAAATGGTGGACAAAGCTCTCTGCTGTGGCCCAGGAGGGCAGTGGAGGGTGGCCCAAGTGCTTGGGCCCCTGCACCCGCATGGGAGACCTGGAGGAAGTACCTGGCTCCTGGCTTTGGATAAACGCAGCTCTGGCCATTAAAGGCCATTTGGGGGGTGAACCAACAGAGGGAGGACCTTTCTCTCTGTCTCTCTCTCACTGTCTATAACTCTTCCTGTCAAATAAAAAAGAGAACATTATAAAATGGTGGACAAAAGATGTAGTGTAAAATTTTAGTGTAAAATTCATATAGTAAAGTTTGTCCTAAAGATTACTTGTTATTCCTATTTAGATACACAAAGGACAGTCAGCAGTATATTTGATTCATAACTAATCTTTTTGAAACTTTTTTTGGGCATGATTACTGAATTATTGCTTCAAAAACATTGAGTGCCTGCATTGTGCCGGGCGGCATTCACTGTGTTGCACGGTTTCATCCCTGTCTTCCTCCCCCTCCTTTTCCTTTTGTCTAAATTTTTCTACTCAGATTTGTCTTGATTTTTTTTTCCATTTACTTTCTATTTTATTATTTGGATGTGGAATTTTCCCGTGAAAATGGATTTCTTTCCTTGCTTCATCCTTCTTGGAAAGGAACATCCTTCAACTGGAAAAGTGGAAATTAATTGTCAATTTTAAACATAAAAATAACTATGAAAATCCATATGCTATTTCTTCAGATATTATGAAATCATTAACTCTGTCATTGATTCATTTTTTAGGCCTATATTCTTACATCTAAGGAAATTTGTGTCCACTTTGAGAACCATATTTCTTGGATAGCTTAATCAATGGATTAACTAAGAAAAAGCAGTGTAGTTGGGAGTGATATAATTTCAGCAACCAAGAAATTATCAAGAAAGCATGGCCAACAGAAAGCCTTCTATCTCTGTGTTTATATTAGAACTGATCTTAACAGCATAGCGTTCACCAAACATAGGAGCTATCCTTTAAAGAACAATTCTGATTCAAGGTTTTCCCATTTATAACCAGCCGTGTTCCAGGCCTACAAAGTATTTGAAATAAGAATTCAAACTGGCATGCAAGTTGAATCTCACCCTAGGCAGCTTAAATTTACACAATTAGCTTGGGACTTGCTCATCCTGTAGCATCAGGAAGCACAACCTTATGATCAAGTGCAATTCACGTCTCACAATTCTAGGAATCGATGTACACGGGTGCACTGTTATATTATTATTAAACCCAATTGCTTTGCAATTAACCCAATATGACACCTATACAAATGACTCAAATAAAGAGCTTCATGTATCACAGGGGACAATCAATACAGTGAAATCACAGCTCCCGACGACGCCAGCAACTCGGCTTGTTGCTATTGTACGTTTTTCTCAGGTTGACACTACCGTTCTGCTCTGAAATACAGCTTCACCTCTTGGCAATGTCCCACCTCACAAGTGGCTAAATTCAAACATGCTGAACTATGTCATGCAGGTTTGGGCTGTGCTAAATCGTAAATTTGTTTTCTTCCTTCTTCGTTCCTCCAATGAAACTAGATCTTTTTCCCCAGGAAAAAGAACATAGTTGGATTTGTAGATGGGTAAACTAAGTTCTTAGGAAACAATAATTCTTGCCCTTCCTCTTTCTTGCAATTAATATCCGAAAGCAAAACCAAACCACGATAGTATGTTTCCTAATGGGTTTACTATTCTGTAGCTTTTTCATGTCCATTTTAATGAAGAAAAAACCACTTTACAAGTATAAACTGATAAAAACTAATCTAAGCATTACAACTGGCATTTTTATCACCCTCTTTTGGCAGGTTTTGCCAGTGTGTTTGTTTGCCAGACAACTTGACTTAGAGAATCAACTTTGTGAAAGCAGGGACTCCTTGCTTCCTTCACAGCTCTCCAGAGCTGTGTGCAGACTTCAGTGAGTGTTTATTGACAGACTGGTTTTTTTTTTTTTTCAGATGCTTTTTAAAAGTTTCATTTCTTTTATTCAATGGAAAGGCAAAGTGACAGAGAGAGAGAGAGAGAGAGAGAGAGAGAGAGAGAGAAATCTTCATCGGCTGGCCTACTTCCCAAATGCCTGCAATAACCCAGGGTGGAAGCCGGAAGCCAGGAACTCCATCACGGTCTCCCACGTGGGTGGCAAGAACCTAGCACTCAAAACATCACCTGCTGCCTCCCAGGGTGCTCACTAGCAGGAATCTGGATGGGAAGCGGAGGTGGAACTGGATCCTGGGCACAGATCATGAGGGTATCCCACCTACAGAACCACAGTGCTCACCACTGACAAACTGTTTGGATGCTCTTTGTTAAGATGTCATACTTCCTTGTTTTCAGTAGACTGAACTTAACCTTATGGTGCATTTGGGACAGGCACTGACACAAACTACATCTTTGCCACATCTCTGTCTATATTGTTTTCCAGGCAGAGGCCAGTTAAGCCCAGAGGGGTGTCCATGAGGCCCTTCCCACTTCCTGAAATAGGGAGAAGAGACCATTAAGCATGCAAAATGCCACTTTTCTAACAGATGATGTGGACAATTGAAAACAACAGCTTATTTAATGCTCGAAGCAGTCTGTTCTCCATGAGTCATCCTGTACACATAACGGTGATGAAAATGTTCAGTTTGCAGTTTCTTCCTGGCCAGGGAGGAAACCATGGAGTGAATCATGGTTTTAGTGATGACTGTCCTGGGGAGGCTAAATTGGGAAGCCACAGGTTAAAAAAGGAGTGAGGAGTGAATCCTTCACAGGCATGCGACCGGTCATAAACCCCCGAGGCAACAGATGCCTCCTTATGCAGCTGGTGCCCAGGCAAGGACTTGTCTAAGAGGAGCTCCAGGCCATCTCTGGAGGAGAGGAATTCTGAAAGCAAAGGGAACCAAACAGAACATTTATGGCTACGCACACTTTGGGGCAGAAACAGGACTTCTCATTGGGAAAGAGCTACATAGCTGCCTGTGAAAGAGAAACAGAACTGAACGCACTCTCTCAAGGACACGCGTTTCATTCAGGAGCAGCTGGACTGGGGCTGGTGTTGTGGTGCAGTGAGTTTAGCTGCTGCCTGCAATGCCAGCATCCCAAAAGGGCACAGGTTCAAGTCTTGGTTGCTCCACTTCTGATCCAGCCCCCCTGCTAATGACCTAGGAAAGGCAGCAGAAGATGGTCCAAGTGCTTATGCCCCTGCACCACGTGGGAGACCCAGAGAGAGTTACAGGCTGCTATATTTGCAGCCATTTGGGGAGTAGACCAATGGATGGAATCAATCTCTCTCTCTCTCTCTCCCTCTCCCTCTCCCTCTCCTCCTCCTCTCTCTGTCTTTCCCTCTCTCTCTCCTCCTCCTCTCTCTGTCTTTCCCTCTCTCTGTAACTGTGCCTTTCAAATAAATAAAAATAAATCTCTAAAAATAAAAAAAGAGCAGTTGGATTAGAGATGGGGATTTACATGGATGGTGTTAAGGGACAGGAAAGGTGTCCATCGTCATTTGCATCAGAACTGTAAGCAGCCTTGGTGACTCCCAATACCACGTTAAGTGGAAAAATGGGCCAGTGAAGCTACAGTCGTCATCGTGAACAACATGTGTGCTGTGGACCAAGGCTGGGGATACACAGAAATGAACATAGTGGTGGTGAGTATAGTGATGTGATTTGTTCTCTGTTGTTAAATTGGTGGTGTGAGGGTGGGGTTGGGAGAGATTAACTCTAGGGTCTGTTAGAATACTGGGTGAGGAATCTGAAAGCACAAGTTTGCTTGACTGGGCCATGCCAGCTGTGAACTTCATCTCTCCGAGCCTCAGTGTCCACACACAGAAAGCGAGAATAAGAACAGCTGCCCCACACTGATGGGGCAGTCCAAGATCTTCCATCCGCTGTTTCACTCCCCAGATGGTTAGAATGGCCGCTGCTGGGTCAGGATGAAGCCAGGAGCCAGAAGCTTCATCTGGGTCTCCCATGTGGGTGCGGGGGCCAAAGCACTTGAGCTAACTTCTTCTGCTTTCCCAGGCTATTAGCAGGGAGCTGGATTGGAAGTGGAACAGCCGGAACACAAACTGATGTCCATATGGGATGCTGGGTCACAGGTAGCAGCTTTAGATGCTATGCCACAATGCTGGACCCCCAACTTTTTATATTTGTGTTTTTCTGTTTGATTATATATATACATATGCATATACATGTATGTATATATATACATACACACACACACGCACACACACATATATATAAAATCTAAGGCCCAGAGAGAGCTACTCAGGAGTCAGTTATTAGCCCAAGGCACATGGAAGTGTAGCATGTTCTTAGAAGATGGTGGAGCCAGAGGAAGCATAGTTCAAATCCTGATTTATGACGTATGTGTGAGTGACTGAAGGTACATTACTTAATCTCTTTAAACTCTTTCTTCATCTGTAAATCAAGGACAGTACCAGCTACCTCCAAGTGTCATGACATGGATTAAATTCCAACACGAGTGTGAGTTTCCCTAGCACTGTGCCTGGCACCCAGCCATGCAGTCCTCCCCTCCTGTGAAAGCATTTTGAACAAGAGGCTTCCCCTTTTTAGGTTTTCCTGCATCTTAGAAAAGGAGGGTGAGCAAAGAATTATCACCAACTCCTACACAGTATTCTGAAGGCTTGTTTTACTGGACAGAGATGCATGATAACCTCATAGTGAGGAAACAGGACATTTGAATTGTACATATGAATGGGAGCTTTAAAAAGTTCATGCAGGGGCCGGTGCCGTGGTGCAGTGGGTTAGTCCTCTGCCTGCGGCGCCCACATCCCATATTGGGGTTGATTGTAGTCTCAGCTGCTCTTCTTCCAGTCTAGCTCTTTGTTAAGGCCTGGAAAAGCATTAGAGGAGGGCCCAAGTGCTTGGGCCCCCACACCCGCAAGGGAGACCCAGAAGAAACTCCTGGCTCCTAGCAGCAGCGCAGGATCAGCATAGCTCTGGCCGTTGTGGCCATCTGGGGAGTGAACCAGCAGATGGAAGGCCTCTCTCTCTCTGTCTCTCCCTTTACTGTTCTGTAACTCTACCTCTCAAGTAAGTAAATTTAAAAAAAGCTAAAGAAAAAGTTCATGGCAGGACATACATTTGGCTAAGCAGATGCTTGGGACCCTGTATTCCGTATCAGAACACCTGGGTTCTGATCCAGTTTCCCGCTAATGTGTACCCTGGGAGGCAGTAGTGATGGCCCACATAATTGGGTCCTTGCCAACACGAATTGGATTGAGACCTGGATTGAGATTTTATCTCCTGTCTCTGGCCAGCCCAGCTCCAGCCAGCTCTTGTGGGTATCTGGGGAGTGAACCTGTGAATAGGAATGCTCCGTTTGTCTCTGTGCACGTCTCTGTCTCTCAAATAAATAAATAAAAATTTAAATAAAAATGTGCATGGAAAGTTCATACCATGAGAAAATTATATGTGAATTTCAATAAACATTTTTACACCAAATAAGTGGTCTTTCAATTCCTTTCTTTCATGGACCTATTTTTTTTAAATTGAAAGAAAAAGAGAGAGAGAGAAAGAAGGAGAAAGATCTTTCATTTGCTGGCTCAATCTCTATATGGCTGCAACAGCCAGAGCTGGGCCAGGCAGAAGCCAGGAGCCAGGAACTTATCTGGCTTACCCACGTGGGTGTCAGGAACCCAAGTTTGCTGGGGTCATTATTGTCTGCCTCCCAGATGCATTAGCAGGAAGCTGGACCAGATCCAGAGTGGCGAGGGTTTTGCACCAGGCACTCCTATTTGAGATGCAGACATCCAAGCAGTGGCTTAACCTGGTGCACTGTGATGCCTACCCCTTACGTGAACATTTCGACATACCCTCACGCTTGCTTCTTCCAGAATATGGCAAAGAAGGAGCTGCTGCATCCTACAGGACTCATCAGATGCACTGTCAGGACCCAGCCAAGAACGTCGGATGTCAACCTGTAGGAACGCCCGCAGTGCACTCCTGTGAGCCGGCGAGGAGCGCTGAGTGCGGAGAAGCGGAAATCGCTGAGGGCGGTGAGAACAGGTTAGGGAGCAGGTGCAGAATAATGTGGACTCTTCCCTCTTTTGCTCTGACAAGTTTAAACTTTAAGTGATTTGGGGGCAGAGATCACATCTATTACCTCCCTTTTGTAGTTTCTAAGAGCTTATTAGGTAATATTTTAAAATGCTTGATGATTAGAGTGAAGAAATGTCACACAGGGCCTCAGAGCAACCTGGGGCCTCTGGGAGCGGCCAGGATGACTTTGGAGAGAAGCCTCTGTCGTCTTCACCTCCTCAGAAGTGATGGATGGAGTCTGATCATAATTAATTTTAATAGAGGCTTGATGTGCTGTGATAGAATCTTGGCCATTCAAATGAAGTAGAACCAAGCGGCCAGCTTGAACAAAAATCGCCTCTGTTCTGTCTCGTCCACTGGCATTAGAACAAGTCAAGTCTACTTAAGAAATATTTCGGGAGTGATTTTATGCCTAACACTACAGAAAAGAATAGGAAAGGACTCTGTCTGACATTCCCTGTCAGAGCTGGACAGACCAGACCAGAAATATAATAGATGCATAATACGGACAGCCTGCGCAGGTCTGACGTGCAGCATCACCAAGTTGTGCAGATGGTCTGGAATCCGTGCATTCTTGCCACAGTTGTTTCTTAAGTGTCTATTAAGTGCCAGACAGTCTAGCTGCTGGGAGGACCACAGCACTTAAGGCAGAGGAAGTCCCTGGCTTTGGGGAACATTCTAGTGCTTAAAGCAAATGAATTTATTACCTCTATCATTTCAGGTAATGATAACAAAGCAGGCTAAGGGGAGGAAGAGAAATTGGGGTCCAGATAGGGAGCATCAACCGCAGGCCTCTCTGAGGTTACCTGGAGGAATGAAGTGAGCAAGGGAGAACGGCAGGTACAAAGGGGAAAGGAGCGTCCAGCAGCCAAGGCCTGGGTGGCTGGAGTGGGGTGGGGAAGTGGAGAGGGGCAGCAGCAGGCAATGGGCTGAGTCAGGTGGGGCCTTGCAGAAACTGATAGGCCATTCAGGTTCCTGGGAGCCGACACTGAGATAGACAGCTGCGTGCAGCCCGAGCGTCCGCCCAGCCCTGTGAGCAAGTGCGGGGTAGGGCTGGGCAGCAGGAGGTGGGGTGTCACCTCCACAGGGACCCCAGATGATCCTTCTTGAGACTCTGGGGTTGGGATGACCCATCAGAATTTTTTTTACAGAGACAAAGAGCAGGCCCTTGTGAGCTGCCCTCTATGGACAGCTCCTGGGAGCTGTGGTGGGAGAGCCGCGTGGTGGAGGGCAGCTGACAAGCAGAAACCCCAGAAGCTGGCGTGAGGGTGCCTCAGTCCTGAAGGGGGACCTGGTGGCACGGCACAGCATCCACAAAGGGCCACCCATGGTTTGTTCTCAGAACTTTCCTTCAAGTGATGCACTTGTATTTCCTGTGGGCAGCAGGAAACAGGCTCAGGAGGCGTGGGCAGCCTGTGGAAGATCACATACCCAGCAGACGTTGGATTTGAACTCTCTGAATTCAAAGACCATAACTTGAAAACATTGAGACAAAATACACGTGCATAAAATGTATCCCTTTAAGAGCTAAGTGTGCCGTGGCATTAAGGAGCTCCACCTCATGTAACCGTCACTACCATCCGTCTTGAGGAATTGTTTACATCTTGCAAAATGAAGCTCTGTGCCCATGAAATCATAACCTCTCATTTCCCCTCCCCCAGTCCCTCGTAGCGACTTTTCTCCTTTCTGTCTTTATGAGTTTGACCATCTAGGTGCCTCCTGTGAGTGAGCTCACACAGTAGTGTCCTTCTGTGACTCATTCCCTTAGCATGATGTCTCAGAGGCCCAGGACGTCACAGCACACGTCAGACTTTTCAAGGCTGAGCATCCATCCTTTGGCTATACCATGGGTTGTGTATTTCTTCATCTGGTGATGATGAATGGCTGTTTCTGCCTCTTACCTAGTGTGCATAATACTGTCATGAACATGGTGTTCAAATATCTCAAGATCCTCCCTCCCTTCCGCGCTGCCTCTCTTCCATTCCCTCCCGTTCCCCACCCACCATATCCCGAGAGCTGTTATCCAAATGGGTGTGAAGTGGTTTTACATCATGCACTTTTCCTTCCACTGTGCTGTAGCTCACAAAGGAATCTGAGAGCGTGAATCCAGTTCCTCCATTCCACTTGTGAGTGCAAATGGTGACAACACTTGGTCAAGACTCAATTCAATTAATGTCTCTGGATTCACAGTGAACTACAGAAAGTCACATTCCAATATTCCCTAAGGCATGCAGACAACCAGAGAATGAAAGTTTGTCACGGTGTGCAGAATCAGTTGTGTTGATTCGTAGAGCATTTCATCTCTACAACAAAATGGGTTAGACAAGCCAGTTGCGAAGGAAAGAGGTTCATTTCAGCTCACAGTTTGGGAGGTGGGCTCCATTTGGTCTGCACCTGGTGATGGAAGAGACTTGCTGGCAGAGTCCCTGGGGGTACAGGGTAGCGCCTGGTGAAAGGGAGGGTGTGCGTCTGTCTGTCTGTCTCTCCTTATAAAGCCACTGTGATTTGATCAGGAGGTTACCACCCTAACAACCTCCTCCTCTAATCACTTCCCAAGGGCCCCACTTTCAGACACCGTAATTGGATTAAGTTTACGCCCTCTTAATGCCATTAATAGAGGACTTTGGGGACCAAACCTTTAACACATAGGCCACTGGGGGACAGTCAACATCCAAGCTAATATCCAAACCATAGCAGCAGATTTGAACATTTTTGCTCAAGGAGCCAAAAATAGTTTAGAAGATTCTGCTCCTCATTGCACATTTTAAAATGGATATCTATAATTTTATCATAAATTTAAATACTTTCAAAGAATGTAATTTCTAGCATATTGTAAATATTGACATTTTAAAATAAACCTGTGACATCACTCTTTTAAATGTGTCTAAGTGGAATCTAAATCCCATCACAGTTTACTTCCACCATCATCCAATTAAGAAATATACAAACAAGCTCATCTTTAGCAAGCAAAAAGTGCATTCTGTTTTCTCCTTGAAATTTTATTTCCACTCTACTTCCCCTTCAGAATTTTATGCTAATGTAATAATATTATGATAGAAATATCTTTTACTGAATATTCCATAGTGCTTTTATCTAGCATATGTATAAAAATTAAAATTTGCATGCTTGAAAAATCCTGTAACCATAGGCTCTAAGTGTTTTCTGGATTGAGTTGTTGTTGCAATGACTAATATTACACAATTGATTTGAATAAAACATTCTGATAAATTCTAACATGAAAAGTAAGGTTTCATTGAAAATTTCCATTTGTTTTTAAAGATTTTTTTTTTTTAACAGGCAGAGTGGACAGTGAGAGAGAGAGACAGAGAGAAAGGTCTTCCTTTTGCCATTGGTTCACCTTCCAATGGCCGCCGCGGCCGGTGTGCCGCGGCCGGCGTGCTGCGGCCAGTGCACCACAGCCAGCGCACCACGCTGATCCGAAGGCAGGAGCGAGGTGCTTCTCCTGGTCTCCCATGGGGTGCAGGGCCCAAGCACCTGGGCCATCCTCCACTGCACTCCTGGGCCACAGCAGAGAGCTGGCCTGGAAGGGGGGCAACCGGGACAGAATCTGGCGCTCCGACCGGGACTAGAACCTGGTGTGCCGGCGCTGCTAGGCGGAGGATTAGCCTAGTGAGCCGCGGCGCTGGCCTAAAGATTTATTTTTATTCATTTGACAGGCAGAGTTACAGAGAGAGAGAGAGAGAGAGAGATTAATCTTCCATCTGCTGGTTGATTCCCCAAATGGCTGCAATGACCGGGACTGAGCCAGGCTGAAGCCAGGAGTGTGCAGCTCCATCTGATCTCCCACGTGAGTGCAAGGACCCAAGCACTTGGGCCATCTTATGCTGCTTTCTCAGGCTCATTAGCAGGGAGGTAGATCAGAAGTGGAGCAGCTGGGGCTCAAATTGGCACCTGTATGGGAAGCCTGCGCTGCAGGGGGTGGCTTTACCCACTATGCCACAGGGCTGGCCCTGGTTACCTTTGTTTTCTAAAGTTTCATTTGATGTAGAACCAGTGTGAAAGTAAGATGGGGCACTGGACAAAAAAGCAGGTATTTGAAGATTGGCACATTGTTCTCCTTGGACATATCCTTGTCAGGAAGCCCCAGTGGGAGGTCCTAGCCCTAAGGTGCCCCTTGCCAAGATGAGCCAAACTGTGGGCTACCTGTTGTGATTCAGGATGTGGAAGAAGCCTTGCGCACTGGAGTTGGCAATAGTGGAGGATATGACACCTGCTGGGTTTCTGTACAAAATATTGAATTGTGGCAAGAAGGCGGGGCATGTCAGCAAGGGTGGAAGCAACTTGGGAATGGACTTTTGGCTGAATTAGGAGTTGATATGGTGGGACCAGCACGTAGGCGTCACGAGATTATGGGCTTGGGAGCTTTATGTAGGCGCTAGAAATGTCTTTGTGAGCAAGTGATATGATGAAAGTAGGCTTAGGAAGAGAAGCCAGGCTGTGGTGGAGAACAGGAGCCAGGAGGCAGGAAGCAGTCCGGGTGTGGTCATTAACAGGGCTTGGGAGGATGATGCTGGAGTTGGAAGGGCAGCTGTTGGCAGGCTGTGAGGGAAACAGAAATCGCGGGTCCACATTTCAGCTGGATTGTGGGCCCACTGCTTCCTGGTCTTCCTTTCAGATAGGCTGCCGAGTTCCAGAACGAATTCCCAGCCTTTGTTGCTGCATCCATATCATGCAGTACTTAAAGGCTAGCAAGACGGTGTGCTTTTCAGTGAGTCAAGTAGAGGCGCGAGAGGGGCAACTCGTCTCTTTTGCCTGACGGATCCTTGCATTGTAGGGATGGAACGAGTGACTGTGAGAGGACTGGTCACTTGTAAGGCACCTGCAGATGTGACGCTATGACTATTCATTACTCATCACTCTGATTATTGTGTGCCACTCTTCCCAGAGCCACTGAAGAGGCTTTTGAGTACCTCGTTGAGTGGCAGCCTCGAGGAACTGAAATCCAGGTAACAGAGACTGCACCGTGCACTGTCAGAGGATTCCCTCAGGCTCACCCCCCTTTCCAAGTTGGGACTGTGTTACAGTACCCCCGCCCCACCCCCTCCTGGGAAGTGCAGTTCTTTGCACTCCTTCTGCCTGTCCCAGAAATATGCTCAGAGGACTGTTTGCTTTATGTCAGAATTGTGGGCCCTCCCGATTATGTAGCAATGGAAACAAAGCTTGCCTGTGTCTTGAAACCAGATTTTTTTTTTAGAAAAGGTTTTTAAACATTTATTTACTTGAAAGACAGTGACAGAGAATGAGCGAGCGAGTGAGTTTCTATCCACTGGTTCATTCCTCAAACGCCCACAAAAGCTGGGGCTGGACTAAGCTGAATCCAGGAGTCTTCCACATGTGTAACAGGAACCCAAGCATTTTATCCATCACCTGCTACCTCCCAGGGTATACAGTGGCAGAAAGGTAGATTGGAAGTAGACGTGGGACTCGAACCCAGGCACTCTAATATGGGATACAGGTACCTCAAGCAGTGTCTTTTTATTAAAAAAAATTATTTAAAGATTTATTTATTTTAAAGACACAGTTACAGAGAGAGAGAGGGGGAGAAAGAGATCTTCCATCTGCTCATTCACTCCCCAAATGGCCATAATGGCCAGGGCAGGGCTGGGCCAAAGCCAGGAGCCAGGAGCTTCTTCCTGGTCTCCCACATGGGTGCAGGGGCCCAAGCACCTGGGCCATCTTCTGCTGGTTTCTGAGGCGTATTAGCAGGGAGCTGGATTGGAAATGGAGCAGTAGGGACTTGAACCCGCACTCATATGGGATACCTGCCCTGGAAACCAGATTTTTTTATTGCCACTTGCTCTTTCCTTCTCAATCCGAGCAGGGAAGCAGATGGATCATCAGAAAACTCAGATACACTCTTCTCTCTTTTCCTGTCTCACCACCCCCCCCCCCCTTCTTCTTCCCTTCTGTCTCTTTGCTTTTTGCCTAGAGACTGCTTACGTTTTTAAGACTCTGAGAGGCCAAGAAAGCCAGTGTGTGCTAAAAGAAATTGGCAGTCTCTAACCTTTTAGCCATCTCTCTAGATCACTGAGCGTCCTTGGAACCTTCTGGCATTAAGTCTCCAGAGAACTCCCTTGGCCATCACGGTAGACACACATCCCATTGACCACATGGCTGCCGGCTCCACCAGGCTTAGAACAACTGGCATTTCTTCGGAGGATGAAAAAGATTCCAGCAAATCTAAGTGAGTTTTCTTGCTCTCATTGGACTCTGCTATCTTTTATTCATGTGTAAGCATCTCTATTTTTCTGGCTGTGGTACAAACATATCTGATGGTAGAAAGACAAATGCAAGCATGAATGGATCCCCTTGGACTTGATACCTGCTTCATTTAATAGACAGGGTGAGAAGCCAGTTTAGTGAGATGACACAGCCCCTGTCACTTCGTGTGGGCAGTTGGAGCCTTTTAGTCACTCATCTTCCCCACCAACCCTCTACAGTGGAGTATGAACACCAAATTTCAAAGAGGAAGAGCTGGCAACTGGGAGCTGGGAGTGGGTCAGCAACAGTCTCAAAGTCGCACAGGCAGTGAGCGGCTGTCGGTCAGGAAGAGTTACACAAGGCATTGATAACAAAGGGCCCTGAATCCTAGTAGCTTGCTGTAACCAAGCTTCTTTCTTCCCTCCTACACAGAAGGTCAAGGTCACTAGAGGCTCGGCCTTGTCCACAAGCTGAGACCCAGGCAGACACTCCCTGGGCACTGCTGGTGTCCTAGCTCTGATGGATACAGAGAACATGGCAGAGTGGCCACCGGTGACACATTATTGCTGCTCATGTTGCTGGCCAGAGCCGTCACGTGGCCACTGCTAACCTCAAATGGGTGCTTACCATGTGAGCAGGACAGAAGGAATCTTTATGGGCAGCCCAAGTGACCACCGCAGCGGCAGAGGAAGCATCTAATAAGAAAGGTATTTTGTGCTTTGCCTCCCATGAAAGTTTCCACTTGCTCAGGGCTGAGCACTTCATGGGTACCAGGCACTAAGTTTTTTACAGATGTTATTTCTGGTCCTCACAGCGGCCTGCTGAGTGGATATTATTATTATTTTCATTGCACAGAGCCAGTTATTGAGACCTAGAAGTCTTTTTTTGGTTCTTTTTAAAACTTTACGTTTACTTATTTATTTATTTTTGAGAGAGACAGATACAGAGACAGAGACACAGAGAGATCTTCTATCCACTGGTTCATTCCACAAATGCCCGCAATGGCTAGGGCTGGTCTAGGCCAAAGCCAGGGGCCCGAAACTCCATCCAGGTCTCCCATGGAGATGGCCGGACTCAGGTACTCCAACTATCAGCTGCCGCCTCCTAGAGTGTGCATTATTGGGAAGCCAGAATCAGCGGCAGAGTAGGACTTAACTCAGGCACCCTGCAGTGGGATACAGGTGTCCCAGGTGGCACACACCTGATGCCCCAACTGGCTGCCCCAGCCCAGGAAACTCTTCAGGTGGCTCAAGCCGAATGGCACAGGGAGTGCAAAACAGTACCTGTGCAGCCTCAGGTCAGCCTGGCTCTGATTTCTTTCCGATTGCTAAGGATTTCCAACACCAGGGACATCACTTGACACCACGGGCATTTTCAAACACTCAAAACTTTGCTTACTCTTCTGGTTGTTTACTTGTTTTTGGTTGCCTTACTATAAACATTCAGAGGAGATTCACAGGGATGAAGGAGAAAGTGAAAAATCTCTCAGATAGAAAACATCCCAGACATTTGTGGCTGGCTTGTACCTCGCTTCTTCACATTACTGTAATTTATGAACACTTTCCAATAAGCCCACTGTCTTTTTAATGACTGCATAATATTCCATCCATTGTGCCACAATTTATTAAAAATTCCTTAATGAATCACAAATCCATCTTGTTTCCAACATGTCTCTGCCCTCTTCTCTTGATTTCCATCTTTGTAGCGCTGTCTTCTGTCTTTTCCCGTGTTCTAGCTAGACCTATTTAGGCTTTCAGCAAGGAGGAATGCTGTTCAAAGTTCAGCACAACAGCTCCCTTGTCACCTCTTTCCCCTTCCTCTTCCACAGACACTCCCCTGCGGGGTTTTCCTTGGCTCTTCCTTATCGTGGATGTTTCCCCCTGAAATCCCCCTGTAAACTGCCTTCTTTTCACTTTTGCTTTCTCTGCTTATCTGCAGTCTGCGCTGTGTTCCAAATTTGCACGTCCATTTTCCAGAACAGCTGAACCACGCACTCTGCCCTTCCTGGCCGCTTCCCCGCCTACGCGGCCCAGGGTTCCTGCCTTCAGCCTGCAGCCTCTGCCGCGGTCCGCAAGGACTCCCCGCCCAGACCCAGGCCTTCCGTGCCGGTACACACTCCCCTTTTTTGCTTTCGTCCCGTTTCCCAGCTCCAAGGCCTGCCTCCCCTTAGCTCAGTCGCTCTTTCCCTGGCGATCTGCAGGACTTCGCAGGGCCCAGCATCTACCGTGTGCTCCATGGCCCTGGTGCCCACCCCCCGGGAGGCCAGCGCCAGGCGCCGACGTGGCCTGGCCCCAGCACCGCCGACTTTGATGGATGCACGTTTTTCCCCTGTGCCTAAGGCCAGCTCCTGAACCCCGGGGGACCCATTTTTGAGGCGCGTTTTTCCCCCGATGTTGCCGCGGGGCTTTGTCGATAGCGGGCCCCAGCTCGCCTTTTGCAAATGAGCACGCGTCTCCGCGGTGCTGCCTCGGCCAGGGTGCACCCCAGGCGCAGGTCCAGATCCCCGCTGCCCGCGTTTCCCGGAGCGCAGTCTACTTTGCACATTTCCTCCCTGAAATAGATGCGCAATCGCCTCCAGATTTAGAACAGGAGTAATGACTATTTCACGAAAGCCTGGAAAATGTGACTTTTTTCCAGAAGCGGTCTAGGTCGGCCGTGGAGCTTCAGGCTCCTGGCAACTGAAGGTCGCGGCTGTGCCCTAACTGGCCTCTGTCTCCTCCCGGGCCCGATCCCCACACCTCAGCTCCCGGCCAAGCGGGCGACGCCGGAGAGGCGCCTGGCGCCCTGGGCGCGCGCGGAAGCCCGCGCTCCTTCTCAGCGCCCGCGCGCCGCCTCCCGATCCGCGCCCCGCTCCAGCCCGGGTTTTGCCGCCGCCGCCGCCGCCGCCGCCGCGCTCGCCGAGCCCGAGGCTGGCGCCGCCGAGGCCGCCGCTGCCGGGGCGTGGGGGCCGCACCGCGCACGCGCGCCCGCGGGGTCCACGGCTGCCGGCTCCCCGGCTCCGCGCGGCCGGAACCCTCGCGCCGCCGCCCCGCCCGGAGCCGCCCGGAACCGCCCGGGCCCGGACCCCGCGCGCCGGCGCGCCCCCCGCGCCCGGGGCAGGGACTATTTTCTCTGCCCGCGTCCGGTCCCCCGCGGCCGGGAAAGAACATTCCTGGCTGTCCCCGCCCGGCTGCGCCCGTTGCCGCTCCTCCCCCGCCGCGTGTTTTCCGCCCCAGTAAAGATCGTGCCACACAAATAAGCCTCGAATGCCCTTTGCCGGGCGGGCGGGCGGGCCGTTTTCAGGGCGCGCCGCTGGAGCCGCGAGCGGGCCTGTTTTCCCTCCGAGCGGACGGCGGCGGGGGCGGGGGCGGCGCGGGGCCGCTTCCAACTGCTCCACACGCTCGAATAGTTGTCAGTAAAACCAAACTGACGTCAGCCGGGAGAAAGATAGGTCTCTTTTGTTCTCATCCCCCACCCCGCCCTCGCCATCAAAGGCGAAAACATTTGGGGGGGGGGGGATGGACAAAAAGGAGAGGGAGAAAGCCGGGAGGCAGAGGCGCCGCCGGTCCCCGTCGTCGCTCGGCCCGGCTCGCGGGGCCCGGCCCACGCGGGATTCGACCCGCCGAGGGGTCGCGGAGAGAAAAGCGTTTTAATAGGAATCGGTAGAGGAGCATAGGTCCTGGACGGAAATACGTGGTGATTAAAAACGCCACAGGACGGAAAAATGTTCACGACTGGTTAAAAAAAAAAAAAAAAAAAAGGAAAAGGAGAAAGCGAGGGAGGGAGGGAGGGAAAGAGAGAGGAGAGAGGAGAGGGAGGAGGCGGAGGAGGGAAAAACCCTTAGCAATCTATTTTCTGTGTGTGTTGCTGCCAGAGAGGCAGTCAGCAGACCCACAGTTTGTGTAATGCTTCAAGCTACAGCGGGCAAATTTAAAGCTGTATGCTCGGCACAACATAATAAATACTTATTGAAAATGCATTTCTGTTTCTAAGCGGGGTTCACTCATGCATTATACAAAACACCTAGGGCTGCGGTAGCGAGTCACTAGGGGACGAATAAGGCGGACTGTGACTCAGGTTCTTAAAACTCAACTCTTGGGCTCTGAACAGCTGAGACTGAGAAAAAATATATGTGTGTGTATGTGTATGTGTGTATATATATATGGTAAAAAACTAATGCCTTTGAGAGATACCACAGATTAAGAAAAAGTTGCAATTAAACAAAAATCTGGTTGCTGTGAGGGTGAGGCTGGTAGCAAGAGCAGTTAACAGGGGTAGATAGCGTATTGATTGGGTTACAGAGTGGAAAATTATTGCCTTGTAGGTAGGGAAAGTGATCAACAATGTGATAAAATGGTTGAGGGTTTTATGAGTATCCACCAATTTCTGTGGGAAAGGGAAAAAGGCTTTTGAAACCTTCCCTGACACAAATGTAGGAATATACACCCTGTTTGCATGACCTTTTGGAAAGGAATCAATAGCATTTACGTGTTTACCCGTTAAGCAGTGTTCATTCCTGGGAGGCAGTCTGGAGGGCACGGTGGTGCGGCGTTCCTTCCGCTGGCCTTCAGGGACCCCTCACCGGCTCCGGCACGCTAGGTCTTAACCCGAATCTTTATTCTCAACTTCTTTTTTTCTCAACCTCTCTTAACATAAAAGAAATCATGGAAGGTTTTTCAGTGCAATTTTCCTAGGGTTTTCCCAATACTGTATTTAGTTTCAGTGGTTTAGGTACAACAGGGTCTGTCAGAATGGATGTTTTCTTGTTCAGCCACAAATTCTCTTCGATATTTTTGGTCTTCATTAGATTAGAAAATCCTTGAAGGCAGGTCATGTAGCTCCTTTCTCTTTCATGTTTCCTGAGAATAAAATTTTGCATGTGGAAAGATTGAATGCTTTGGGTTTGATTGAATGCTTTGGGTTTATATTGGCAGATGGTACGTGGATTGGATTTTGGAGAGGAAATGCATTGCTGGGTAACCTTGGACAAGGGATTATGCTTCTCTGAGCTTCAGATGCCTCATTTGTGAAATGTGGATTCCTGTGTCTACCCATTAGGATTCCTTTTTGTGAATGAGATAATGTAAGTAAAGCACATGGTGCAATGTGTAATGTCCATATATATGTAATAGTATATAGTGATTATATAATATATAAAATACATATTATGCTATATAAGTGAAATATTATATAAAATTATATATTACACAATGTTTTCTGTCTATCCATATAATTCTTTCTCCAAAGATCCCCAACCTGGATGTCATTTCTCCTTTACGCACATTCTCATGTAGTCAGTCTCTCCTTGGACTGAAGCGGCACTCTAGGACTAGATCAGAAAAATCTTGCTGCTTCTACCTTCTGTCTTGGAATGCTAGCTTTTGGGGCACTGCCTCCTGAGTCCCAGCTGCAATCTTCAAGAATGAGGAATTGTATGTAGACGAGGTCACATGTAGGTGGGCAGGTTGATGCTAGCATGCAGACTGCCCCCAGTAATAAGCCGTGAGGTGACATCAGGTAATGTGCCGCCCTTGCCAGTGAGCAATCTGGGGTGTCCAGTCCTGTTGACTCTTCCGCTGCCTCCAGCCCCAGCTGGAGAAAGATCTCATGCAAGAGCTGCCCAGCTGAGCTCACTGTCTGCAGAACCATGAGAGGTAAAAAGTAGTAAATATATAAAATGAGCTAGTTTTTATTGATATCTTACTTTTACAGTGGGCACTAAACCTCTTTGTTGAACAAACAGAAATGAATTGAACCGGCAGCATGGCAGTCTTTTCCCTGCACCTCCTCTTGCCCCTGTTAGTCTTCCTCAGATCCAGTAGCTGTCAGCCCTTATTCCTGAGGTTATTAAGCTGGTTGCTGGCAACACTAAGACACAGAATTCTGTAAGATCTTTCTTCAGGGGGTTTGAGTCCAAGTGGAGAAAGAAGACACTTTCCTTAAGAATGGGAGACCACTAATGCACTGCTAGGTTCTAGCCTAGAGTAATGGATGTTGAGCGATCTGTTGTTAAATGAAAATATTCTTTTCTATAAAATGTTGATAGGAGAAAAAACTAGAGTTTGAGCTGCACTTTGCTTATAGAGAATTTTGTTTTAGCTCCTCCCCCCTTTTAAAAGTGGTTCTGTGTTTCTCAGGATTTTCAAAATGTTAGGAGGATGAACGTCTACCAGTTTAGGAGCTACTCCCATGAGTAGATTCAGTCTCTCAGTGTATTTATGGCACTGAAGGATCACTGGAAGGCACACGCTCTCATTTGTAATAGTCAGTGCCCTTCGTCCTTAGTTGAAAACACGTAATGCTTTTCGTGTGGGAGTGCTGGAGCGTTGGTTGCCCCTGCCATGTGCTTCCCTTACAAAGCTCGAGTGATCGTCAGAGCCTTCTCTTCTGTCTCAGGTGGTTCTCCTTAAGGTATGAGGGAAAAGGAGGTAGGACAGGAAATCGGTTGGGGTTCACATATAGGTAAGGTGCAAAAGACCAAAAATATCGAAGAGAATTTGTGGCTGAACAAGAAAACATCCATTCTGACAGACCCTGTTGTACCTAAACCACTGAAATTAAATACAGTATTGGGAAAACCCTAGGAAAATTGCACTGAAAAACCTTCCATGATTTCTTTTATGTTAAGAAAAGAAAAGCAGGCGGCTTGGTGGATCCCAGAATGTGGCTGTGTCCTTGAAGTTTACTTAAATTAGGGGTGGAAAGAGACTGAGAGTATCTATAGTTCCATGGTTTTTCTTATGTTTACAAAGGTAAAACACAAAGCCACTTTTTATTTGGTATATATTAATATATGAAGGTACTTAAAAATGTTTACAAATAGAATTAAAAGTATGAGTTTATTTTGGTGCAATTTTTTGAAATCCGTGAAAAAATTTTTCTTTTTTTAAAAAGATTTATTTATTTATTTGAAAGTCAGAGTTACACAGAGAGAGGAGAGGCAGAGAGAGAGAGAGAGAGAGAGAGAGGTCTTCCATCTGATGGTTCACTCTCCAATTGGCCGCAATGGCCGGAGCTGCACCGATCTGAAGCCAGGAGCCAGGAGCTTCTTCCGGGTCTCCCATGTGGATGCAGGAGCCCAAGGACTTGGACCATCTTCTACTGCTTTCCCAGGTCATAGCAGAGAGCTGGATCGGAAGTGGAGCAGCCAGGTCTCGAACCGGCACCCATATGGGATGCTGGTGCTTCAGGCCAGGGCATTAACCTATTGTGCCACAGTGCTGGCCCCAACAATTTTTTCATACTACACATTTTCCATACGTTATGAAATAAATTTTTTGCACCAAAGTAAACTCATGCTTTTAATGTCATTTGTCTATGAACTATTTGAAGTACCCTTGTGCATACATATAATAAGCCCAGTGAAAAACACTTTTCATGAGCAAATGGTCAGCTACTCTTCACAGCTCTTCACAGGCTCTTCAGACATTTTATTCTGAATGCAGTAGTTACAACAACCTTCCAGAAAGAAAAACGCTTTTTGGAATAAGCTAGTTGGGCAGTGTATGCTCTTTTCATGGTACTGAAGTTGCACTCTAGCCCCTTGCTGCTCTCCGTGACTTGATCTCTGCAGTGTGGCTTCTAACACTTCGTTCCAGTCAGATGATTGGGTCCCCAGATCAGTCTATCTCTTGAAATTGGGCCCTCTTCAGGAATTGTGATCCATGTGTTCCATTCATTTAATTCTTCATTCATTCATGCAATCAACAAACATGTATTATCTGTCTGCTATAGGCCCAACACTGTACTGAGCAGCTGGGGGTACACTGGTGAGCAAGGCACACTTCTGACAACTTCCAGTCTTGTTGGAAAAACCCACAGGCACTAAGGTGAGCCTTGGTGGGAAACAGATGTGACTGTGAACACTGCAAGGAAGCCATCAGAGAAAGAAAAAGTGGGAAGCGTCCTCTGAGAGTCTGAGTTGAGACCAAAAAAAAAAAAAAAGAATCTTCATGGAAAAACATGACCTGAAGGGAAACTGGAATTATAAGTATTTGAGATGTTGTATTGAGGTTACAGATTTTGCCATGGGTTTTGAAAAGACACCTAGACATAGAGATGCTTAGGACACTCCTTACTGTTTAAAACATGTGATTCGAGTGACTGTTCTGCGACCTGATCACCTTTCAAACTATGAACTGCTTTGCACAGTACATGCGCCCTGTTTCCACACAGGTCAGTCAGCCCCGACTGCTTCTCATCTGACTCTCAGGCGCAGTGTCATCTGTCTTCATGGTAGTAGCTGCCATTTTGGAACAGTGATTTTTTTTTCTTTTTCTTTCGTGGGTGTACCTGAATGTTGTTAGTGTTGGTTATGTTTTTTAATTTTTTTTAATTTTTTTTTATTTTTATTTTTTTTGAAAGGCAGAGTGGACAGTGAGAGAGAGAGAGACAGAGAAAGGTCTTCCTTTGCTGTTGGTTCACCCTCCAATGGCCGCCGCGGCCGGCGCACTGCAGCCGGCGCACCGCGCCGATCCGATGGCAGGAGCCAGGTACTTTTCCTGGTCTCCCATGGGGTGCAGGGCCCAAGCACTTGGGCCATCCTCCACTGCACTCCCTGGCCACAGCAGAGAGCTGGCCTGGAAGAGGGGCAACCGGGACAGAATCCGGTGCCCCGACCGGGACTAGAACCCGGTGTGCCGGCGCCGCAAGGCGGACGATTAGCCTAGTGAGCCGCGGCGCCGGCCTATGTTGGTTATGTTTTATAATAACAGTCACATTCTTTTATAACTGTAGATATTCTAAGATGCTTGCATTTATTTTGTAGTTATAATATTATAAGTTCATTTTGTGTATTTTTCTGTTGGTGAAATATACACAATGTAAAATACATAAATTTAACCGTTTTAAGAATACAGTTCAGTGGCATTAAGTACTTTTATATTGTTGTGCAACCAACAATCATTACCCATGTGGAATATTTCCCTGTTCTCCCCCTCCATCTCCTGGAAATCACTGTTCTACTTTTTTGCTTTTAAAAATAATAATTTATTTGAAAAGGAGAGAGAGATCTGCCATCCACTGGTTTATTCTCCAAATGCCTGCAACAGGCTGGGCTGGGCCAGGCTGAAGCCATGAGCTGGGAACCCAAGTACTTGGGCCTTCACCTGCTTCCTCTCAGGTGGGAAGCTGGAATTGAGAGCAGAACCAGGACTCCAACACAGGCACTCTGATTTGAGATGCAGGCGTCACAAACAGCATCTTAGCTGCCATGCCGACTGCCTGCCTGGCCTGTCAGCTGACCCTGTGGTGTGAGCTGGGGTGGGAATTTAGAGGATACTGGGGAGCCAATAGTTAACACAGTACTTATACAAACTAGGAATTGAATTCTATAACTTTTTACTCCCAAATAATATATAAGACAATGCCAAGAAACATAGTGTAACTTGATGGACTTGATTCATCAAATTACTCTTGAATATATTATGGAAACTTTATGTAAGCAGGAGTCAGCAGACTTTTCCTGTAAAGATAGTAAATATTTTAAGATTTGTTGGTTCTATGGTTTCTGTCTCAACTGCACAGTTCTGTTGTATTCTGTGGAAAAAAGTCATTAGCAAAATGTAAGCAAATGATCATGGCTCTATTCCAGTGAAACTATTTATTGAAATTTGAATTGTATATAATTTTCATTGTAATAATTCATTTGGCTTCTTTTCAACCATTTAAAAATATAAAAACAGATATAGGCATTTAGTCTAACAGTTAGGATGCCTGTGTTGCATATTGGAGTACTTCAATTCCTGGCTCTAGCTCCTGTCTCTAGCCTTCTCTCAATGCAGACCTTAAGAAACAGCAGTGATGGCTCAATTAATTGAGTTTCTGCCACCCATGTACAAGACCAGGATCTAGTTCCTGGCTCATGGCTTTGGTCCCTATGCAGCCCAGCCATTGTGGATATTTGAGGAGTGAACTAATGCATGTAAGTTTTCCTTTCTGTCTCTCAACTAAATGAATAACTTTTAAAATAAAATTTATTTAGTTTATCTGAAGGAGAGAGAGAGAGAGAGAGAGAGAGAGGAGAAAGAAAGAGAAAGAAGTATCTTCCACCTGCTGGTTCATTCCCCCAATGCCTACAACAGC